TGATCTATCGTACTCGATTGTGCACAAATTCCAAATTTTGAATATCTCTGTCCTTTGAAACTGATTGTTTTGTAAAGGGGAAATTCGCGCCTTTTTTGGTGGCGCTAGTTGGTCCAAAATTACATCTGTACTCCTACTGATATGAGCTTACCAAAAACGATATTTATTTCTGAAGCACATAACATATAGAATGTAATCAAATCGACAATGACTCAATCATCAATATTAAATGGTCACATTGAGAAAAACTTTAAATATGGCCATTTGCCGGCAATCTACTATGTCGTCACATACGCACAGCAACAGCAGTTCACAGACCAAAGAGAAGGGATACTTGAGAGTTCAGGTCAAGAAAGTGCTAAAGCTTATCACTTCATGTAAGTCTTTACCTCAATAAAATCTGTAATATGCGAAACATTAATCTTAAACATATAATTTGATGATACGCGATAAATGGCTAACATCCGATAGTAGAGAAACATATGCGATGCTGTCAATCTATCAAAGGGCGGAAAAGGAGAAAGATGTAAAGAGGAGTATGATAAGATTTGAAAGACCCACTTTAGTCGAGAAATGCAGCAAAGTTTGAAGTGTCTACACGTTTTCATAATCATGTCGGTTTCGATGGGACTAATCTCCAGTACAAAATCGTTGCCTAATGCGGCATCTGCATCCCTTCCATGTATGACAGTGAGAACATACGTCGTCTATAGCGAATTTCGACGCCTGAAATAAGCAGGGAAGAAAGTGTTGTATCGAACACATATTATTAACTTAGTTTGAAAAGTCAAGAATCTGACTGTGCTCCGATATAAATTCGGGAGTGTAAGTGAACGAGTTTCCCGCACTATTAAAGGATATTTTCTCATATCAGCATGAACCATTGTGAGGGAAGGATGAAGATGTTCCACAAGGATCTGTCATGCATTTAGTTTTAAGAAGAAAATAAAAGTAGAAAAAAGTTCGTGTTTTCACTTCTTACTTCCATTATGTTTAGACTATAAGTGTTCGGAGCAATAAGCCAGAGTTTTTGTTCGGACAAAGATTCGTACAGGACGTGTCAAAGATAGTGCACTTATTAAGATTTAACAATTCTCAATCATTAGACAAAGGGGCTTAAAATGAGCAAAATCCCTCCATAGCTTGAACAAAGGCGCCCAAAATTTTCAAATACAGTCAACTATTGCATTGAACATAAGGAAATCTCATGTACTTATAGGTACTCCTCTAACTCGCACTTGATATCAGACAGTATTGAGTAGACACATAACTGAAGGTGCCAGATAAAGAAAATAGCAACATGGCACTGGTATTGTCTTAACGCGGAGCTCTCACACCTTCTCCAAGCCATGATAAAAAGGCAAAAAACCGCAATTACATAGCATCGTGCAATTTGAAAGTCATATCACAACCTCAAAGTAATCTCAGTATTTTACATTTTCGCATTCATCATGGTTTCGCTGACAGTAGAGCTCCGACTCTGGTTCTATTCACCCATATACATCAAATTTCCAGCGGCCGCTAAAATCAATCCTCTCACTTTTCCTTTACAGTATGATGCATAGAGCACTATGCATCATACTGTAAAGCACTATTTCTATCACACTATTTCTGATCGAAAATCCCCATAATATCTTTCAGAGAGGCTTTGCTGAATGAAGAGATATTAAAATCAAATCAAAACCGCACTCAGTATGCGCTTTCCTAAATCACTGCTTTGATACAAAGCCTTCTCTTGTCAAAATTGCAGCTTTAAATTCGAATAAAACTCAAGATTCTAGATGTAAATTGCTAGTCGAAGAGAAATCATTACGCTGCTAAAAGTTATTTGGGGTAAATATTGCTACAAAAGGAGTAAGCGTTTTGTTTACCAAATTTACATACATTCTAAGCCTCATGAGAAAAATAGCCGGAAAGTTTTATTATCAACATCAAGGATCGACTCGGCTATCAATATCTTTTGAAATACTTCTTCAACTAGGCTATGATATCAACCTTCTAAACTTTAGTACCAGTCCGTTTGAGGTGTGGACTACTTGCGGTGGAAAAATCAGTTATCTGAGCACAAATGCCTATATGAGTATATTTCAGCCGATAAAGATGGGACCTTAACCATGCAATGACGGTTCCAACCTTCCAGGTTAATCGGAAAAGTAACTAAAATATAAAGTCCCATGATACCATAGGAAGGGATAACAAATGAGCAAGAGGCTCGATCAGTCCCTTGATGAATATTTTGCCATAAACCAAAAACTGGGATTTCCTGATGAGGCAATTAAGAATGAA